TTTTAGTCAAAAACCATCAGTGTCACCACATACCACACATGATTCATGATTTAATCTTTTTTTGTCTACATTATTAAATATTTATATACTTGAATTTAATACTACATGAGTACCATATAATAAATTATTGTGAYTCTAATGAATGATGATTAATCAAAATGTTTTAAATTGATTTTATGTAATACGCTTGCATAAGCATTTATGCTATATTGCCTGAATTTATTCATGATAAAGTAATAATAAAAAGTATAATTTGGATATATTATGCATTTTTAACTGAAGTTTAGTACTTTTGTTCTAACCTAAGTTATATATATTACCTGTAGTCATATCTATTTACATACCTCTATACCCTAGTACATACATACTACATATTTTATTATGTTCTATGTTCTATGTACAGTTTACACCAAGAAACGATATTTTAGTATGTACTTACCATTTTCTACCATTCCTAAATCATTTTCTAAAAATGGTTTTACGTGTACAAATAACGCTGTTGAAAATAAAATATAAAATCATCTTTTTATCATACATTATAATTTCTTTAGTTATTCATTTAAATTTTTTTTTTCAAAATTAAGTTAGTACCCATATTCAAAATAGAATAGGAGTTATTTTATAGTTAAACAAAATAAGATTGGCTGCGTTATAATTCTGTAGTTGTATGTGTTTACTTAATATTATCAATATTTTTACTATTCTGACTTAAGTTTTTATATCAAGGATAATTCAACTCTAATTTCAACGATTATCGTTCATTAAAATATTAGGTATAAACTCAACAATACAATTATCTAATCATGGCATTATTAAATTATAATGATACCAAATACGATACATTTAATAATTTATGGTAAACAATTTTAACATAATATATTAATATATCTAATTCAAATTTTCAATAAATTCAGAATAATTTTTGAAAAGTTTTAATCACCTATTTAAATGTATAACAACATTTTTAATACATTTTTTATAATGAACAAGTTTTGATTGAACTTTTTAATGGAAAAATTATTTCTTCAAGAATTTGAGAAATAAGTTTTCTCTCGACGTCTATACTGCGCTAAATTTCATTTATAGATGAAACTATTAATACAGAAAGTAAAAAATTATTCTTATATACAGCTGTATCGAAGCATAGATAAACATGTTAGGTAGGTGATTCCATAGGTACCATTTAAAAATGAGAAGTTGAATCACTATTATATAGAGATAAGTTAAAATCAATGGATAATGATAATGTGAAGGATTTTGAGAAACTTAAATACACATCTAAAAACTAATAATATTTAAATATTATTTGGTAAAATACATGAGTTTGATACACTTTTGAGAGTACTTTATGGTTAAACGCTTTTTGAAGTCTTTACATCAAAATTATTCATGACTGCAGAATAAGTAAACGTGCTATCCTATAAATGTATACTTTGTCAAAACTATACATTATATCATTTTTGTAATGCATGAAATGTGGTATAAAATAATCATAATAAACGCTTAACGTGTATTAGCATTAGTTTTAAATAAGAACACAATATAAAAAGTAGGGTAATAAAACGTGGGTATATTTTGGTTTGCAACAACTGTTTTATATATTATTTAAAATTATTAAAATATTAAATAACCTAAAACGTTTTAGCTAATGTAGAAAAATAAGTATAATATAACTACGCAATTTTATAGTTTTGTGATATTTTACTGTTAAATAAAACTCTTTTAGAGTAGGTAAATAGTTTTGTGTCAGACGTAAAATAGTCGTAATGTTTAGCACTCCGTTATAATTAATTAGTAATAATTATTTTTGTTWTATAATTATTTTATTAAGGGTAGCTCACGCATGAACTTCGTTTTTAKAAACAAAAATTAAGATTAAATTTTTTTTGTTTGTTCCTAATTTAATAGTTTCCGTTGGAAACACAAAAAAAAACAATTATTATTATAAAAATTGGTTTTCATGTAAAATAAATTACCCTTTTAAAAATGTGAATTACGATGATCAAATTATCAGTCACGTTACCCTCACACAAAATTGAAAATAACAAAAACAAATATTACTTAAAATATTTGAGACGTACACGACGTGTATCTCTCTACATGCAYTATGTAGATTATAGACATTAAATCTATAAATTGGCCACATGGAAAATGCATATAATGGATAATTTTAATCTTCTCAACAGTCCAAAAATTAAAAACACGAATTATATGTTTTTTTATTTGTATTATAATCACTATGACGTAGATATTTCAACTTTATAGCAACGGTAGCACGTTATTTTTATTTGACAAGAATAATACAAGTGGAAATTATTTCATAATCTAAGGAATCAAAAATATTATTCAGTAATAACTACAAACATTTAAAATGGCGA